CCCCCTCCTCCATCTCCATTATCTTTTGCTGTGTACAAAGGAATATCCCCCATCACGTTAGATTTCATTATTTACATTTTTAAAATGAATTTCCTAGTGCTTTGATGTAATCATTTAACCCATGAAATGCATACTCCTGTATTTTAACATTTGAATTTTTAAATTCATCACTTTAAATTTTAACACTTAAAGGGACTGTAAGCGTAGTTTCGATTGACCCTCTATGCGAAGATTGCATTACCCGATTCACAACGGTACCTTAGAAACCTTTAGTTGATCAATAATTTTCTTAAATCCTGTCTAGAGTCAATATCTATGCAGATCATAACACCATGTCTTTCCATTTATTAAGTCCTGTCTAGTGTCTATGACTTTTCCCTCTATTGTGTCTAATATTTCGTCCTAGTAATATCTTCTAAATCTCCTAGAGTAAAGAATAAAGGTATAATCCTTCCCTATTCAAGCTTCTCTGCTTCTCAGTCCCTAGCCTATATTTGGAGACACAGCACATTTATCAAATCCTATTTAGATATATACGTTACAGTATACATTATATTCACACCGAACTCAGTACAAGAATTAAACGTACATTATCAGTGTACTATCAAAACGCATCTTTCTTTATTTTTTTTACACAAATCAAAATATATTTGGAGACACAGAACATTTATTAAATCATATGTACATTACAGTATACATAATGAAAGCACACCTAACTCCATACATAATTTTTTTTTTTAACGAAATTAGGAAAATGTATTTCTCTATCAAGACTGAAGATATGTTAAAAAGCTTGCAAATGGTATTTTTTTATTTGCTCAATAATTTTTCAAAACGACCAATATGTTTTAAACGCGTTGAATATGTTATGAAAAATGTGCTGAATATGTTTAAAAATATGCTATGTAGGATTCATAACGTGCTAAATAATTTAGATATTTCAAAACGTGCTGAATCTGTTTCAAACCGTACTGAATCTGTTTCAACCGTGGTGAATCTGTTCCAAAACGTGCTGGATCTGTTTCAAAACGTGCTGAATCTGTTTCAAACCGTGCTGAATCTATTTCGAAACGTGCTGAATCTGTTTCAAAACGTGCTGAATATGTTTCAACCGTGGTGAATCTGTTTCAAACCGTGCTGAATCTGTTTCAAAACGTGCTGAATCTGTTTCAAAACGTGCTGAATATGGTTTTAAACCTGTTGAAAATTAGCTAAAATTAACTAAGCTTTGGCTGTGTGTGATAAACCTTTGTTAGTTCATTATACAGCGTAAAAACTAGACTTTTTTTGGATGTTTTACAGATGTAAACAACACTCATATTAAAGGGATTGTGAGTGTAACTTCAAGCGAGCCTCCATGCAAAGATGGCAATGCCCGATTCACCCTTTAAAGCGTTGTCTTATAAAGTATGAATTAGATATCAATGTTTATAATTTAGAAAACTGATTATTTTCAAATGTGATTTTGCCACTAAAGGGACTTGCGCATTTTTACTGCTGGAAAACATGGAACCGTTGAGATTCGAGCATTGTTATCTTTGCATGGAGGGTCACTTGAAATTACGCTTACAGTACCTTTAAGTAATTGGTAAAGAGACTAAAGAATTGAGTCTTTGCCACAAACTCAAATTTTCTAAACTCAATATCTGGGTAAACTATTTGATCTTACCGAATTCAAAGGTTGAAAAATGTAAGGTCTGCGACATTGGATTGCAAAGATATTGGGATTAGAAAATCAGAGTTTGTGACAAAGACTCAATTCCTTTGCGATTTACTTAACAATCAATTTATGATTTAAAAAGAAAAATGAAGGCACTGTAGAACAGGTTTTCTCATTTTTACACCCCATCTTTTATAAACAAAATATAGCACTGTGGAGTTGGTAGCACTAGTCTAGTCTAGTCTAGTCTAGTAATTTTAATCAATTAAATCTCAAAAATACAAAATTACTAAATTACTTCAAACCGAGTTTAATTGAGGAAAAGGGGTTTAATTGCAACTAATTGAATTTCCCCCTACATGGATTTACCCCCCCCCCCTTTTTTTGTCTGATTTAGATGGAGTGGGGAAAGCAAAAATCCCCCCCTTTCTCCCTTCTGTCTGGTTTAGGGTGGGGAAATCACATTTATTTTTATAGCTTCCTGTAAGATTCTACTATTGAGACGTCTAGTTCTAGAATATTTTACATGAAAAAACCATATAATGTCCTAATATTCTGCTGAATACAGGATGTCTATATAAACATGAAAATTTAAATAAAATAAAGTATATTTGCCTGCTTTTATATTTTAATATCTTTATTTTATATCCACACTATAAAAAATGTGTAACTTTTTTTCGTACACACTGAGTCGTTACTAACGATCTTTAAGATATTGTCATGTGGAACACCTTGTAATGGCGTTGTACACTGTACGCTGTACAGTCTAAATCATATTAGAATGTGTTTGATCTTTTTAAAGAAATACACAAAAAAACGCAATGAAATATAGTTAATAAGAATTAGAACATTTCATCGTTAAATAAAAAGTTATAAAAAGCTTGTAGTTTATGTAATACATAAATCATGTTTGGTGGCTCTCCTGCAGTACATAAAAATCTTTGCATTTACACCCAATCTTAACATTGGCATTTATACTTGATCTTTATTTTTAAAATCTTTGGTAAATTTTCTCTAAAATCTGATCATAAATGTTTCAGCAGGAAAGGTGGGAGGGAGAGGAAAAGAGTTATGTTCACATATTTAAGAGGGGGAATATGGGGGGAGGGGGGGGGGGTATAAGAGATATTGAGAGAGTATATTTCATTTTATGAAATGTTTTTCTTTTAAACAGATTCAGGGAGGATATAAAAACAACGGGATATTTATTCTTTATTTACTCGGGACATAAATATATTATTTGAGCTTTATATATCGGGGACATAAATAATACTTTTTAAATCGGGTATATAAATTTATTATTTTTATTAAATATGTTACTTTCTAACTAGCTGCAGTGCTAAAATTGTTACATAACAAGTAAAACTAGGACCAATGTTGGCCTGCATATCATCATAATTATTATGTAATATGTTGTAATTTTGATGCCTTCTCTTTACTGTGCTCCGTAATAATGAGTAATGAGTGCATCCGGATAAGTGCGTTCGGATAGTGACTTAGAATAATTGATTCCGGATAAGAGCATCAGAATAAGTGCGTTAGAATAAGTACATAGGGATATATGCCGATTTGCTTTTAACTTTACTGGGGAATTCGTTAGAACCACATAAATGTTTTTAATTTGGTTTAAAAATTCTAAGTTAAGTAACTCGACTTCTGTAGAGTAGGCTTAGATTTCCAGCTTGGGTTTGAAAATTCTAATTTGAGTAGGTTGGTATTAATCATATAATCTCTTGTTCCAAGATTTAAGTATGTCGTTTCAAACACTTCATGTGAGTTAAATATACAGTATTCAAGAGCTTAAGTCATCAAACACTTGAAGTGTAAGCTTTCATATTGGCGTTAATGCATTTTTTCTCGGGGGGGGNGAGCAAGTAAAAGGACAGAAAAAGCAGGGAGGAAGTGAATGGGAGGAGTGGAAGGTTGAGAGCATGGGAAGTAAAGGATAAAAAAGGCAGGGAGAAAGAAAGAGGAGAATACGAAGGTAGGAAGCAAGGGAAGTAGAAGATGGGAAATTAGGGAGGTAGTATGCAAAGTAATAAGCAGGATAAATAGGTTATAAGGAGCGAGTGAAGAGGAGGATAGGAAGGTAGGGAGAAAAGAAAAGGACAAGAAGGTAGGAAGAAAAGGAAAGGGCAGGAAGGTAGGAAGAAAATAAAAGGACAGGAAGGTAGGAAGAAAATGAAAGGACAGAAAGGTAGGGAAAAAACGAAAGGAAAAATAGAAAGGTAAAGGGCAAGAGACGGGGAGGGGGGGGGGTAGGATGGTAAAAAGGAAGGAAACCCGAGGAGAATAGAAATTGAGGGAGCAAGGGAAGGAGAGGATATGAAAGTAGTTAGCAAGGGAAAGGGAGGATAGAAATGTATGGTAAAATTGTGAAGTGGAAGATAGGAAGGTATGGAGAAGGGAAGAGGTGGATAGGAAGGTAGAGAGCAAGGGAAGGGTAAGATAAAAAGGCAGGAATCAAGAGAAGGGGAGGGTAAGAAGGTATAAAGAGGAAGTGTAAGGATAAGAACTGATTTAATCAGCTCCCAGGGTTTAAGTGTTTGTTCTACCCTGGATATATTCAGACCACAGCTCCAAACCTCTACATGCAGATTTCATCAACATCAGAGAGAAAAAGAAAGAGAAATAATTTCAATTCTGAAAACCTTTCGAAGTTGTCTCAAATAATTTGTAATTCATCAAAATGCAGAAAAAAATAGTTTTCTCCGATTTTGGAGATTATTATTTAAAAATAGAAAAGTTACGAAAAATCTTTTTTATTTGAAATTTTGAAAATCTGAAAAATGTATCGCTTTTAATTGCAATATCCAGTTTGTAGATTTACGCCTCCTAAACCCCAATTTTCCATGTAACACAAAACATAAAAGTTGGCCTGTAGAAAAATACTTTAAGAAAACTTTTTTAATTAGTCATATAAAAATAAGAAAAAAATCTAACTTTTTTTGGATGTGATTAATTTTCAAACCAGGAGATATTTACTAGATTTTGTTCTGAAGGGGACTAAAATTTTCGTTTTAGAGAAAAATTTTCCATTTTGGTTTCCACTAAAATTGATTTTTGGATTTGTGCATCAGAGAAAAGAAATCATGTATTTTCTAGACATGCAAACACGACGATATCTTCCTTGATCATCATTTCATCATGAGCTAAAGGGTAAAGTTTTGAGTTGGGCTTGCCAAGCTTTGAATTAAGGGTCACTTAAAATTACGCTCACAGTCCCTTTAAGGCAATGCTCGATTTACAACGATACCCTTAAAATCTTCGACTTTCTCATTAATCTACAAATTTAATTGTTAAACACTTTTTTTGCAAGCTGTTTTATATTAAACAAAAACTATACTTTCTACATAGAACTGGCAGAAAAAAAATTCTCACGAATTTTTGGAAACCGTTTTAAATATAAAGTATTCGATAATGTCAAGTTATACGTAGTACGTATCAGGACAAGAGCTCTATTTACTCGATTAACAGTCAAAGTTTTAAAGGACATTGCCCTCAATGCATAGAGGGTCACTTCAAATCACACTTTCAGTCCCTTTAAATTTTTAATTCTTTTATTCAAATTCATGAAATTTCAGTAAAAAAAAATTTAAATAAATTTACATCGTTTGTGTATAAATAATGATTTATGATGTTAAAATGAAATAATAAAAAATTTCTGAACATTATTTTTTGATAGTTTTAATTATATATTTATAAGGATTAACACATTTTTGAAAAAATATCTACCCCTTGTTACTCAGTTTAAAATATATAAATCACAGCTAGGGTACAGGGCAAGGTTCAAGAACATAAAAGATACATTTATCAAAACCAAATCTTCTGTCGAACACAAATATTTATTTAAAAAAGCGTGTTTTATAAATGTCAATAATCTACATTTATAGTTCATCGTTTCGAAATATATTAATACTCTTTGATTTTAACATTGAATTGTTGCTCTCTTATCGATTTTTTTCCGTGGATTTTGAAAATTAGATTTTAAGGGCAATTTTTTTAATTTTGATCATCCACGAACCTTCCCTGAGGTCTAAGCTCAATCGGTTGAACCATTGAAGTTTACTGGATACAAGACAGACAGACAGACAAGTAAAGTATATATATAGATAAAATAAGTACTAAAATTAGCTCCAATTTGGGAAAATGTACTTTTAATTTTCAAAACTAAAAATATTATTGTGTATTTTGGAAGAGTTGTTTTGAAGCTTATGTGTTTTCATTAAACTTTCAGCTGTGATATCGAGTTATATATTTATATATTGTACAAAAATTCAGATCGAAGGTTGAAAATGGATCGATCAAGATAAGTTTTCATTTATAGGTGTATTTGTAAAGTAGTAATCTTTGTTGTCTGTTAGGATGTTTGTTTGTTCGATCATAACTCAGAAACCTCTTAGCAGCAGATTTGCCGCAAATTTGAATTGGGAACTCAATAGAGTCTGGTTTCAAAATTCTTGGTGAATTTACTGGTACGACTTTGTGCCTTTGTTGCTCCACTAGTTCTGACTATACGTACAAGTTTGAGAAATGGATATTTATTTAGTTTAAAATATTAGCAATTGAAAACATTTTTCTTCTTCTCAATATACTCTTTAAAAATAAGAGTTATAATAAAAAATTTATGATTTTAATCTTTTTTTAATCTTGCGGCCAGTAAGTTTGACGCGTGATGGTTTATTACCTTTAGTACTTGTTGCTGAGTCTGCTAGCTTCTGAAAAGTATCAAGAAATGATCCAAGTACTGTAGTTGTAGAAACAAGCTGGGTTTGCAGTTTAGTCGTCTTCAAAACTAGCTCATCAAACAGGGGGAGTCCAGTCTGGAAATATATTTATATTATGATAAAATTATAATTCTTTCCCTTGTTCTCATATTTATATTTATATTTATTTTATGATAAAATTATATTTATATAATAATCAAACAGGGGGAGTCCAGTCTGGAAATATATTTTTATCATGATAAAACAGGGGGAGTCCAGTATGGAAATATATTACTATCATGATAAAATTATATTTATATAATGATCAAACAGGGGGAGTAAAGTCTGAATATATATTTATACTTTGATAAACATGGAAGTCCAGTCTAAAAATTATATTTATATTATTATCCAACATGGAAGTCCAATCTGAAATCACATTTATATTATGATTTAACATGGGTTGGACAAAATAAATAAATTTTTATTTATGATCACACATTTATTATTATCTTTTTATTTTGTTTGGTTTAGCAAGTATATAGATATATGATACATTTATCAGATAAAAGTGAATATGATATATGATGATGATAATGATGATGATGATGATAATGGTGAAATGAATAATTGTTCTTCACTATTTATTTCTCGGGTTCTTGTTTTAATGCATTTATGGAATATTGTTGTGTTTTTTTAAATAAAATCTTGTCTATGTGTTTACTATATAAAATCTTGTCTATAATTTTACTGTATAATCTTGTCTATGTGTTTACTGTATAATCTTGTCTATGTGTTTACTGTTAAATCTTGTCTATTTGTTAACTGTATAATCTTGTCTAGGTGTTTATTGTACAATCTTGTCTAGGTGTTTACCAATATCTATGTGTTTAGTGTATATTCTTGTCTATGTGTTTACTGTATATAATCTTGACTAACTGTATATTGAAAACTCTTGTCTTTATAAATAACCCTTCTAAGAAAGCTAGGTCAAGTGTATAGAGTATAGACATTAAAGGGACAGTAAAGGAAAAATGAAAGGGGGTATAGGCTGAAAGCTAATCACTTTAGCTTTTCATCGAGACCCTTGAGACGCCTATCTGAAGTTCCTAACTCGAGAGTTGATATAAAGCTGTTTCAAACTTGTACGAAAATGCATATATATACAATTTCGTATAGAAATAGTAGGTTTAAACAGACCATGCTCAGAAAAACAGCAACCAATCTGAAAAAGATGATATCCCAGAGAAAGCTAATTGTAATTTAGGTTTACTTTTATATTTGTTGTTTCTATTTTCAATAGATTTCATTCATAATATTATTTTTACTTCCGTATTACTTGACCAGAAATTCCACCAATTGCAGTGCAGTAAAGTGGTCACGTGATACAGGCAGAGACACGTGACCAGTATACTGCTCTGCCATTGGTGATAGTTCTGGTCACGTGATTTAAGTTTCAGATTTTCAAAATTTTACATATATGAATTTTCGTATAATTATAACACAGTTTTATATCATATTCTCGAGACAGGAACATCAGATAAAACTTTCATGGGTCGCGATCAAGAGCTAAAGTGATTAGCTTTCAGCCTATACCCCCTTTCATTTTTCCTTTACTGTCCCTTTAAGTATGAAAAAGTACAGAATGTAATAGAAACTGATTTATACATTTACAGAGACCATGTATAAAGGTGTGCTGATATACAGTTAGCCATAAAAATACGGAGATACAGGAAGACGACATGATAAAAAACTACTATGCTATTTTTAAAAATATTTTTTAGTCCCAAATAATACTCGCGCGCACGTACCTACAAAGATTTAAAATAAGCTTTAATACCAAGTGTAGATTAAAAATATCATCTATTAAATAAATTTGACCAATTTCTGTCACAGCAAAAGAAAATAATCGAAATTTAGAAAAAAATAGAACTTTTTCTATTTTTATTTATAAATATTGACAATACAATCTAACACGATATGCCAATATGTGATATTTTCTGACATGATAATTAGGATTAAGTTAATTATTCAAAGGGGGTCAGATTACGTAGTTAAAATCCTTATTGGATTCAGGGGGCTTAGAACTCCTATAAACCATTCACCCCACCCCCTTCCCACTTTGGAAAAGTGATAAATATGATTTGCAGGGGTTTTAGCCCCAAAAGGAGGCTGAGCCATTGATTGAGTCCGCCCCAGACGAATTCCTGTAAACCTTCGATCAGGATATGCAATATGTATTTATATAATATGAGAAAACAACTGGTTTATGTTTGAATCCGTGACATTTCAGATTGTAAATAGGATACAAGCCGAGCTCAGAAGGAGGAGGAGGCCTGAAAATGTTTATTTTAAAACTGTCTCCGAATCAAAACATTGAGAGGAAAAAGTAAAACATGAACTAGTTTTTATATCAGAAAATGCGGGAATTTCGGTCAAACGAGGGAGAGGAAAGGGGAGCAAGGGAGTGGGGAGAAGAAAGGGGGAGCGGGGGAGAAGAGAAGGAATGCGCAAAAACTGTCCAATTTTCACATACCTTGCAATCCTGTGCAATTTTTTGCACTAATCCTGCCAAGGAATGCAGCTTCTGAAAATCTGCCTCTTTACTCATTTTTCACTTTTTTCACTTTTTAAAACTTTTTACACTTTTTACACTTTTTTCTGTTTCTTCGCTTCGTTGCACTAATCACTGCTGTTAACACACATTTTAACAAATTAGAAATGTTCTAAAACATTTCCCACAAGGTATAAGAAACAGTTTCATCTTTTCCTTGGGTCTTTTATTTTTCATTTTCACATTTCTCCACGCTTGTTTTCAAAATTTAAAGAAGATTAGTAATATTATATTAAACTTTTAAACAGTTCATAGAATTCTGAAAATAATCTAGATAATAAATTTATGAGAAATATATTTGATATTTCAAAATAAAAGACTAATCATCCACTTTGCTTTCACTACTCCACGTGGACATCATGGTTTAGATATCTTGGTTTAATTATAGTCAGCAAGCTCTCACTTTCAAGCCAGTTTTCTACCATTTAAATGTATTTTATGGTATCTTTACGTTTTTGGGCTTTATGCTTTTAATAACAAACAAACTAACTGTAGAGTATTACGTTTTGTCAGATAAATGTTTAATGACAAATTTTACAGAGTTTATTTCTTAGCAGATTTTCAGGTTTAAGGTGCTTAACCGCAATTATAAGTTTTGGCAGTAAATATCGAGTTCAGTCGCTGAAGTTAAGCGTTATCCCATTCAATCAAAAGGTTCTACCTCTGGAGTCCGAACCTTCTGATCCAGGTTTGAGGAAAACAAGATTGCAACCTATGTTTATGGTGTCTCACTGTATTTAAATGTTTAACAGTAGTCGGCGTTTATATCAACGCAAGGAAGACGAATTTCTATTTAAATTTTTACTTTTAACAAGCTTTTTTCTAATTGCAAGTTTACAAGTGAAGAAAAAAAGGCTGTTAATTTACAGCTTCCCTTTCTTTTCTTGTTGTATGCGTATTCATGTTGTTTGAAAGCTGGGTAGAAATCAAAAATTAAATTGAAGTATTCTTCATTGTATTGATATATACGAGGACTGTGTATATTGAAAAGAGAGAACAAAGGGTATAAAAGTGCAAGAAATATCTAGATCGGTTTATATACAATACATTATATATACGATTTACAGAGAATACAATTTTAAGAAACCTTTAGAAACCAACACAAAGATGTCAGCTAGATACAGGATAAAGAATACAGGATACAGGATACAGGACTAGGATACAGGGTATAGGATTAGGATACAGGACACAGGACACAGAATACAGGCTACAGGATACAGAAGCAGGAAACAGAATACACGGATAGGATACAGAACACAAGAGCAAGAAACTGTATACAGGATACAAGATACATGATACAAGAGTAAGAAACAAGATACAAGGGTAGGATACAGAACACAGGTGTAAGAAACAGGATACAGGATATAGGATACAGGATAATGAAGCAGGAAACAGAATACACGGGTAGGATAGAACACAGGAGTAAGAAACAGGATACAGGATACAGGATACAGAAGCAGGAAACAGAATACACGGATAGGATACAGAACACAGGAGTAAGAAACAGGATACAGGATACAGGATACAGGATACAGAAGCAGGAAACAGAATACACGGGTAGGATACAAAACACAGGAGTAAGAAACAGGATACAGGATACAGGATACAGAAGCAGGAAACAGAATACACGGGTAGGATAGAACACAGGAGTAAGAAACAGGATACAGGATACAAGATACATGATACAAGAATAAGAAACAGGATATAAGGGTAGGATACAGAACACAGGTGTAAGAAACAGGATACAGGATAGAAGATACATGATTCAAGAATAAGAAACAGGATACAAGGGTAGGATACAGAACACAGGTGTAAGAAACAGGATACAGAAGTAAGAAACAGGATACAGCATAAGGATACAGGACACATGATACAGAATACAAGATACAAGATAGTACTAGAACAAGGAGTAGGATATTGATTAAATCAATCTAAGATGACTGTTGCCAAAACTGTATTTTTGTTGTGAAGAATTGTCTAGTGAAGATTTGTTTTTATTTTCCTCTCTTCCTGGATCCCACCCCGTGGGCCTCCGATAACTAGATAAAAGAAAAAACAAAACAAAAAATAAAAATATTTTCCAGACTGTCTTAAATCAAAAAAAAATAATAGAAAAAAATATTAGAGTTACCATGTAACCTTTCTAAGCTCATAATAAGCATATATTGGTTGGAAAGATATAGGGATTAGAAAACAGAGTTGTAATCCATATCCTTTAATTTATATGGTTTACAAAAGTTTGGTCCCAATCAGTTCAGCTATTTTGACGTTCTTTGTATAAATCAAAACCCAGCAGAAAAAAAAACAAAAATGGCGGATAATAATTTCCAGCTTAAGTCTGACTAATTGCATAAATGTCACAATTACACATTTCGGGTAATTTATTTATCCTACTTTTCATCCTTATCTAGATTATTATTGGATAAAGCACTACTTCAGATTTAGGTTTAAAGATCAATTCCTAGTTTTCTGATTTAGTAAATTAAATTTTACAGGGACTTATAGATAAAATTATAAGTGACCATCCATTAAAAAAGGTGTATGCTGATTCAGAACGTTACCCTTTAGCCGGGATCTAAGAAAAATATTAAAGATATACTTTTTCTAGGTCTAAAAATTCATCATTTTAAATTTTGATTTCTCTTCATAAGTTTAATGCTGATTTTGCAGCCTATATAAATAATAAGAAGGGTTAAGAAGTTTACCCTTTTAAAGTCATAACAACGACGCTAGGTTCAGCATTGTCGCTAAAATTAAGGTTTAAAGAGCACCAACGTTAATCGGTTAGGAAATTCCTTAATCGGGGAATCTGTTGTATTTTCCTGAACAGTCCCTTTAATGCTGTATTAAACCCCTTCACGAAGATTTAAAGTAATTGGACTGACTTGCTACAAACAGTTTATATTGAGGTGTTAAACAAGATTTATTCTAGAATAGAATTTATAATATACATTTGGAATGATATAATGACAGGAAGGATATGATAGGACAGGAAGGATATGATAGGACAGGAAGGATATGTAAGGACAGGAAGGATATGATAGGACAGGAAGGATATGTTAGGACAGGAAGGATATAATAGGACAGGAAGGATTTGATAGGACAGGTAGATTATGATAAGATATAGGAAGGATTTTATTGGACAGGAAGGATATGATAAGACAGGAAGGATACCAAGACAAGGACAAAAGACAAAGATAGGAAATTATAATAGGACAAGAGTAGAACAAGAAAAGAAAAGAAAATCAAAATCAAAAAGAAGATTTAAAGAATAACACAAGATAAGATGGAAAGCAAATGAAAGCCCTCTCAGGATAGAACAAACTTAAGGAAAAACAAAGAGAGAAAATGAAATAAGAAAAAAAGAATGGAGAAATAAGAGAAGAGATAAAAGGATAAAAAAACCAAATGCATTCGACAAAAAATAAGAGAAACAAAATGAAAAAAGTAACAATGGGGATAAAAACATAACAGTACTGTGGAGGAGATTTGAAAAAAAACATTTGTAACATTTTTCTACGCAAGCAAACGTAGTACAATAACTGTGCTATATATCTTTACTGTACACTTCACAATGTACATTGTACACTTTATGATTAGACCAAAACTATAAATCCTTCCTCCCTGGTTCACTTTGTAATAGAGACGTACAAAGTCTGGGAGTAACTAGCAACTAACAAGGAGTGTGGGAGAGGAGAAGAGACCGGGTGCTGCGTAGAGACAATATTTACAAGTTTATAGGCTCTACACAGTTCAACCCCATACATACTTCCGCATTTCACTGGAATTTATGCCAAGGGTTTGACTTCAAATTAATCTGTTTAAAAGTATCTTTCTTCTTCAAATTAATCTGTTTAAAAGTATCTTTTTTTTCCAAATTAATATGATCAATAGTATAGGTTTCTCCTCCAAATTAGTCTTTTTAAAAGTATCTTCTTTTTCAAATTAATATAATCAATAGTATATCTTTCTTCTTTAAATTAATCTGTTTAAAAGTATCTTTCTTCTTCAAATTGATATGATCAATAGTATATTTTTCTTCTTTAAATTAATCTGTTTATAAGTATCTTTCTTCTTCAAATTAATATGATCAATAGTATAGCTTTCTCCTTCAATTGATGTATTTATTAAATAATGAATGATGCAGTATTGTTTAAGATGAAGGTGGAGCCCTAAAAAGTTCAGAGTTCTGAAAATGTTTGATATCCCGAAAAGGGTAGAAAAATACAAATCTGAGTTCTTCATCTGTTCCATCTCATTTTCTGCAATAAATATAATCTTTGTCTTTCCATCTTGGGTTTTGTATTTTTCATTTCTTTCTTTTTGATTTTTAAACCTAATCTGGATTTAAATGGGATCTACAGGGTTACCCACAAAAAAACGAGAATTTAAATTTATTAACTTTATTTTAATTGACCCTCCATTTACAGAGTGTATTATGTCATTATCACAACGAACCCCTGTAGATTATTATCTGCAGCGTTAATGATGGAGATAAAGTTCTTTTTCTCTCTGAAAAATTGTTATTTTCTTATATTTTTTTCTTTGTTTCTGCTGCAAGTCAGTTTCATAGAGAAACCGCAATATTATGCTGTCTGTGTTATTTATCCTTGATTAGACAAGGATTTAATAAAGGGTATCGTTGTAAATCGGATATGTCTGTCGATTGGAACGTAAATGTATCGAGGTACCTTTTATTACAACCTGAAACTCTGATTTAAAATATAGACTTTGAGTAATATCATCTCTTTAAATAATATAGACTTTGAGTAATAATAGACTTTGAGTAATATCATCTCTCTAAATAATACAGACTTTTAGTAATATCAACTCTTTAAAGAATAAAGACTTTAAGTAATATCATCTCTTTAAATAATATAGACTTTGAGTAATATCATCTCTTTAAATAATATAGACTTTGAGTAATATCATCTCTTTAAATAATATAGGCTTTGAGTAATATCATCTCTTTAAATAATATAGACTTTGAGTAATATCATCTCTTTAAATAATATAAAAACTAAAAAGTGCTCCCTAAGAAATTAATTTATAAAGAATAAACATTCTGGCGCGAAAAATAATCATTATTTATTTCGAATACTTCAAGTGCTGCAAAAAAGTGTAAATAAGTGGTATTGTCAATTAATTAAGATCGAATCTAAATATAAGGCCTGGTGACACTTCAAAGTCATGACTTTTTGCAAGGAAGAGTGGATGTATGGA